TCGTATTTAGTTAAAAATACAGCGTCAACAAAAACGTTAACCCGGGCCCGCCTCCCTGAACCCGACGAACTCATAAATCCTAGCAACTCATTCCTATACGAGAGCAAATATACAAGTTTCATCCAAATCCAACCTAAATCAGGGTTCAAATTTCAAATATTCAGTCTAAAAAATCTTGTATATAACCCCAATGTTTCTCTTTCAAATTCATTTTCTAAGTGCACAAAATAATAGGGAATCAAGATCAAATATCAAAATTAAGTAGAAATCGCATACCCTCAGAGTGGTGATGAATTTCTTCCCGAAAATTACCTATAGCCAAGCTCCAAATCTCCAACTAATGAAAAATGAGTTAACCCTTCGAAATAAAAATTGCCTAGCGATCTCCGTATCTATGGATAAAATCCTCGCATCTGCAAGCCTGCAAGTGCGGTAAAATCTACGCATCCGCGCCTTTCACTTAGTCGGCCAAACCTCACGGGTGCAGACCACATTCACAAATGTGATGTCTGCATCTGCAGACCTATTTCACAGAAATGGCCCTCGCATAAGCGGTCAAATGTCGCAAAAGTTACCATTGTCCATCCGTCGCACCTGTGCATCCCATCTCTGCAGGTGCGATGCACTAGCACCAAACCTACTTACAATTTCAAAATAGATCCTGAACCTAACAGAAACACACTCGACCCTCTCCAGGACCGCGTCCAATCATACCAACAAGTCATAATACCTATCCAAAGGCTCAAGGCACAATAATTAAAATCAAAACCAAGAATCGTCGATCAAGATCAATCTCTTAAGTTCATAAACTTCCAACTTCAAACAAAGCAAGCGATTCAAACCCAACCAATCCTGATCACAACCAAACTTTACACGCGAGTCTCATGTGACAAAACAAACCTATTACAACTTTCGGAACAATAATCTGAATCTAATATCATCAAATTCAACTCACGGTCAAACCTAGAAACTCTTCAAATATTTAAATTGCAAATATTTGGCAAATAGAGCTAAAACACCCTAGGCACCTCCAAATCTAAATCCGGAGATACATCTGAGTACGAATTCACCATAAAAACCTATTGAAACCTTTAAATCACCAATTTCAGATCGATTAAAACAAGGTAAAACCTTGGTTTAATTACAATCAAACCTTCCCGAAGCCAATCCCAACCATCCCCGCAAGTCACCAAATATCAAACATACATATAGGGGACATCAAATAGGGGAGCGAGGCTAAATACAAAAAATGACTGGCTGGGTTGTTACATTCTCCCTCCCTAAAACAAACATTTATCCTCAAACGAGTTTAGAGCCATATCTGGAATGCCAAAAAGGTGAGGATATCTGCTATACATATCATGCTCGGTCTCCAAAGGCGCCTCCTAGACTAGTTCACCTCTCCACTGAATTGTATGGACCCGTAAAAAAATTCAAACCATAAACTTGGGGTTTCGTGGTGCCCAGATAGATTTCTGCGTTATTATATTAGAAATTCTTCATCGCGGTTCATACTTTTTGGGTTGAACAATGCATCGGAAAGTAAAGAAAAATATTTGGCAGGATTACGCGTTTCTGCGGTCCATTATGTAATCGCAGAATCACTCTGCGGACCGCAGAGTGAGGCAGCTTTTAGGTCAGCCTGGGAGCAATTATGCGGTCGATATGCGGGCCGCATAGTGACCACAGATACATAGAGCTTTTTAGCCATTTTGGTATGCAATTATGCAACCGGTATGCGGTCCACATATTGGTTATGCGATCACAGAACCTATTCCGGAGCTTTATTTTTGAGATTTTAAACCCGACCCTATTTCGTTAAAACACACCCCATGGACCATTGTGAGCATATTTTCTGATGTTTCTAGAGTGAGAGAGAGAGGGTCCTAGAGGGAGAAGTGATCGTCATCAAATTGTTCTTCAATTCTCACTTAAATCTTGAAGATTATCAAGAGAGAAACCTAGGTCTTCTTCCTAAAAGGTAAGACTTCATCACCCCAGCTCTTAATTCCAAACATAGCTATAATGGGGTACTAGTGTGATACTTCATAGGGATAGGGGTGATTACATTGAATGCATGTAAGATAAAAGGGTGTAGGGAGAATGTAAGCTAAGAATGGATATGAATGGGTTATGAAATATGAAAACTCCCATGAAAAGAACCTTGAAACCTTAATGTACACTTAGTATTTTATAAAATGTTCAAGTGGGCTAAAACCATGAATGTCTTCCTAATTTTGGTTCAACTTGTTATATTGTTTAAAATAGATTGAGGTTGCTAAGAGTTTCGGATAATTGTAGAGTCAAAGAACCTCGATTGAGGTATGTATGGCTAACTCTCTTCTTCTTAAAATCGAACTCCTGGTGTCCGAATAATTGGTGTAAGTTCCGACTTGATCATACTAGAATCGTTTTTCTTAGTGTGTTTGGTTTAAAGATGCATGCTCCCTAATTGTTCTAGATGTTTACTATGTCATCATGCTATTTGAGAACGTAATTATGATTTTCCAAGCTCCTTCCCTTATGCGTGCAATGCCTTATGTGATGGTACTTATCGACATGAATGATGATGTCATTTGAACGAAGGGAAAACCTTGAATTGTAAAATGTGCACAAGTCTTGGGAACTACTTAATAAATGAGGTTGTTTGTGGTATTTGTAAATCAATTTACATGAGATGGCTTAGCTGGTCGGGCCGAGACCGAACTCCGTGTAAAAACACGGTGGAATTGTGAGTTGTGGCACTTGGCAATAAAGATAATTAATCTAAAAAGACGGAAAGATTAACTCGGAAAGTATGTGATCCTTACTTGGTGTTTCTTTGTATTTTGTGAAGCACTTTTTGATTATTATGACTGTCTTCTCTTTGTTTCACTGTTCATCCTACTAAGATTGGTGTTTACCCTTACATACTAGTACTATTCAACGGTACTAATATCCCTTTTGTCGGGGGCGCTACATCTTTGAATGGAGGTAGGAGGTTCCATCGCAGATAGCGTCGATCGCAGATAGTGGTGCTCTCTTTCTCTTCTCAAAGCAGTCTTGGTGAGCCCCATTTCTTCCAGGGGTCATGTAGTCCTTCTTTTGTATAAGTTTTCACATTTTGAGGTATAGCCGGGGCCTTGTTGCCGGCATTGTCATGTTGGTCTTTTGTACCTTTAGAGGCTCCGTAGACGTTTATGTGGGTCATGTATGAATGTCGGGGTGATCATTGGATCAAGTTGCATTTTGAAACTCTTTTCCAATAGATTGTAAACCGTACGTGCTTTTGGAAACTTAACTATGTCATAATGTATATAAGGAGAGAAAAATGAACTAGCAACGTTTATATATTTATATAACTGATCTCTCCCCTGTTTAACAAATGGTGATGCGTTCCCTTTTTGGATTATGAATGAGTCGGGTAGGAAAGGTTTAATAGGCTTGCTCGACCGAGTCCACTCGGTTGAGCACCGGTCGTACTCCCCGAGGTTGGGGCGTGACAAAGAACCTTCCCCGATGCAATATCTTTCGACCTCAAATTTTGAACCTGTCTATCCAAAATGACAAACGGCTTCTCATTATAAATCAAATCCTTCTGAAACTGTAAAGAGCTGAAATCTAACACATTCGACAAATTCTCCTAATACATTCGAAGCATGCCACACCACAATCCTTCCTATCTGCATAACTCTTCTGTATGGACTGAGTTGTACGAAGCCTCTCCTGAAGCAACTTCACCTTATCCAAAGCATCACAAACCAAGTCTGTGCCTAACAACCTATCCTCCCTGTGCTCAAATCAACAAATTGGAGAATGACACTGTCTTACATATAAAGCCTCATAGGGGGCCATCTAGATACTAAACTGGTAATAGTTATTGTATGCAAACTCGACTAATGGAAGAAACTGATCCTACTAGCCTCAAAAGTTAATAATGTAGGCTCTCAACATTTCCTCCAAGATCTCAATGGTCTACTCGGACTGCTAGTCTTTCTAAGGATGAAAAGCAGTAATCAACTCAACCTGCATGCCCAGCTCACGCAGAATAGCCCTCCAGAAATGCGAAGTAAACTGAGTATCTCTATCTGAGATGATAGAAATAGGTACACCATACAAGCGAACAATCTCTCGGATCTAAATCTTAGCAAACTGCTTCGAAGTGTAGGCAGTCATAACCTGAATAAAATGAGCCAATTTGGTCAACCAATACACAATGACCAAAATGACATCAAAATTCCTCAACGTTTGTGGCAATCCTACCATGAAGTCCAAAGTGATACGCTCCCACTTCCACTCCGGTATATCAATCTATGAAGCAACCCACCAGGTCTCTAGTGCTCATACTTGACATGTTGACAGTTCAAACAATGTGCAACATGTCCAACAATGTCCTTCTTCATCCTTCTCCACCAATAATGTTGCTTCCAATTACAATACATCTTTGTATCACCTAGATGAATAGATTACCGCGAACTATGAGCCTTGTCCAAAATCAACTCCCTCAAGCCATCGACATTAGGAACAAATATACCATGATCATCAATAGTCACCTCATTAGCACTAATGTGTTTCACCGTGTCCTTGAAAACAAGAAAATGGGGGTCCTTGTATTGACGCACCTTAATGTGGTCAAATAAAGATGACTATGAAACAACACAAGCGAGGACTCAGCTTAGCTCCGAAATATCAAATCTCACCAACCTTTTGGCCAACACCTGAACATACACAGCCAAAGGCCTCTTCATAGCTGGAATAAGTGATAAACTTCCCTTACTCTTTGTCCTTTTGCTCAAGGCATTAGCTACCACATTAGCCTTCCCCAAAAAATAAATATTAGTGATATCAGAATCCTTAAATAGCTCCAACCATATTCGCTGCCTCAAATTAAAATCTTTTTGTTTAAACAGATGTTGGAGACTTTGAAGATCCATACCCGCAAAGCATCACAAAACTGTGTGCAACCCTGATCCTGCAGATAATACCAAAACTAGAGTCGTGGTCAAAACATTCTTGAGCATCTAAAAGCTCTCCTCACACTCGTTCGACCATCTGAATAAGTCACCCTTCTGAGTCAATCTAGTTAATGGGGCTGCTATAGATGAAATCCCTTCCACAAACTGATAGTAATAACTAGCTAAACGTAAGAAACTTCTAATCTCCATAACGGTAGAGGGTCTGGGCCAACTATGAACTGCCCCAATCTTTTTTGCATCCACCGTAATCCTATCACTAGACACCACGTGGCCTAAGAATACCACGTAATCAAACTAACACTCACACTTGGAGAACTTAGCATACAACTTCTTTTCCTCAAATCCAAAGCATGATCCTCAAATGTTGCTCTTGCTCCTCCCTACTATGGGAATATATTAATATATCATCAATAAATACAATGAAAAGAAAATCCAAAAACAGTTGGAACACACTTTTCATCAAATGCATAAAAGTTGTTGGGGCATTAGTCAAACCAAAAGACATCACCAAGAACTCATAATGCCCATAACGGGTCCTAAAAGTCGTCTTTGGAATGTCCGAAGTGCTGATCTTCAATTGATGATACCCTGATCTCAAGTCAATCTTCGAGAGCACTCTAGTACCTTGAAGTTTATCAAATACGTTATCAATGCGGGGCAGTGGATACATATTCTTGATGAAAACCTTGTTCAATTTCCTATAGTCAATGCAGAACCTCATGGAACCATCTTTCTTCTTTATAGTACCAGTACACTGCTAGATCACACAGTAGGTATGATAAAACTAGTATCCAATATCTCCTCCAACTACTCCTTCAATTCATTCAACTCTGTTGGTGACATGCGATATGGTGGAATAAAGATGGGATGAGTGCTTGTCACAAAATCAATACAACAATCAATATCCCTATCGGGTGGACGGAAAGTCTACAGGAAACACATCTGGAAGACTCTCTCACTACTGAAACTGACTCAACAGTTGGTGTATGAGAATTAACATCTCTCATGAAGGCCATATATGCCTAACATACTTCTCAACCATCTGTTTAGCCTTCGTAAATCAAATCACACTACTATGAGTGTGACCAAGTGAACCCCTCAATTCAAACCTCAGCTAACCCCAGCCTAGCTAACATCACCATTTTTACGATGACAATCAAGAATAGCATGGTACGGAGATAACCAATCCATACTCAAGATCACCTCAAAATCGACCACTTTGGGCAATAGAAGATCAACGCTAGTCGTATAACCCCTAGTGGTAACCAACAAGAAGGATACACACGATCTACCATAATTGAATCACCAATAGGTATAGACACATGAACAGGAATATCAAGAGAACTATGAGGCATATGCAAATACTAGGAAAACTATGATGACAAATAAGAATATGTAAAACTAAGGTCAAGTAATACTATAGCATCCTTGTGGCATACTGAAACAATACCTATAATCATGGGAGGACTCGAACAGACTTGACCCTATACCTAGATAGTTGTGGGAGTGGTGTACCTGCTGGCGCTAGAACTATAGGCTGGATGCCCTGTGCAGTACACGGCTCAAAAGTCTGTGGCAATCCCTCTTGAGATGACCCAAGTGCCCACACTCAAAGTAACTGCTCCTTTGGCGACTCTATTGGCTTCGTGATTGCCCCTAAGAACCTGAATACCCACTTGAAGAACCTTAAGTGAATAAAGCATAACGTGACCTCTCTGTTGGAAATCCACTAAAAGATGACTAGCCTGGTCGAGGACTATATGAACCGTGGATGACTGAAGAATCAAGATTAGCCTACTGAGTTGACTATGCGGGCTTGAAAGGATGGCCTCTATTGTGACGTCCCTAGCCTTCAGATGGGGCACCACCAAAATCACCTAAACCACAAGTCTTATTAGAGTCCTGCTCCTCTATCTACCGCCTTTGAATATGCTCTAAGCCCTTGGCATCTCAATAACCTAGTGGAAAGTAGTATCAGTCTCGGCCTCCCCTTGCATCCCATATCCTATACCAAAGTTGATGCTGTTAATGAACCTCCCAACCCCCCTCTCAGTAGGGATCAAGAGCACTACATGATGTGCCAGCTCTATGAAACTCATCTCGTACTGAGTCACAGTCATACCCTCATGTTATAGATTCTCAAACTCATTATGAAACTATACGAGTCTATGGGATAAACTTCTCTAAGAAGAGAACTAAGAACTAATTCCATGTAAGTAGTGTTGCTCCAGATGGCCTACCCGGCTTATAGGTCTGCCACCACCTGTAGGTTGGCCCTGTTAGTTGGAAAGTAGTAAAGTCAACTCCATTTGAGTCTGCTAGACCCAATAGAATCTGTTGATAATGATCAAGAAAACCCTATGCTTCCTCATTAGGCACATCACTAAAATGAGGAGGATGAACTCTCTAAAATCTCTCTAGCCTCTTATGCTCCTCATAAGTCAAGGATGATCTAATCTCGGTCTGAGCTGCAACAATCGGTTGCACTAGTAAAACCCCTGGTGTTTGATAGCCTTAAGTTAACTGCCCTAGTATGCATGCGATGGGGGTATGGGCTCCTTCCCCAGCATGTGAGGTAGATGGTGCAACTAGAATCATACTCGCTTAGGTCAAAACTCGTATTCACGCTTAGGATCTTAGCCAAAGCCTCTTAAAGCCCAAGTGCATAAATAGGTCCCTCTGGAGCCTATATTGGTCCCACCGACTCAACATAATCTAGGATATGCTCCTCAATAGGAGCAACTGGTGGCTCCATAGTGGCTGTCCTCGTAAGGACTCTAGCTGCGGGGTGTGCCCCACCTTAGCCTCTACCTCAGCCCCAACCTCTCAAGACTCTAAGAGGGGGAACTTGTGCATGCTCAGGTGATCTGGTTGAATGTATCCTTTTCATCTGTGAGAGAATAGAAAAGCAAAGATTCAAACTTTGTCATAAACAAATCTGCACGATAGAGAACGAAAGAATGAGAAGTTTTCCCTAACACTCGGGTTGCCTCTCGTAGATAAGTACAAACATCTCTGTACTGATCTGCAAGACTCTACTAAACATGTTCATGAACCGTAGAACCTATAAACCTAGGGCTTTGATACCAACTTGTCAAGATCCAAAACCCCCCACCGGTCATTATGGCGCGTAACCCACTAGCTAGGTAAACCAATCATAAAAGAAATAATCAAACATGATAAAGAAATACAGGTTATATGAGTCTTAAGAGTCAGATGTCAAAAATAAAGACTGCATCAATACATAAATCCCCTAGAGTTGGTAATACAGAGTCATGAGATTTACAGCAGGAGTACACAACTGATAATATAAAATACTAGCTGAACAACAACAACAACAACAACAATAGAAATGGAAAGATCCACCAAGGACTACGATCGGGATGCTCTACCTAGTCCCTCGGAAACTCAACAATGGTCCAACACCGCTCTCAACTAGGTCCCACCCCTAGATCTGCAGAATTAAATGCAAGTGTAGTATGAGTATAATCGACCCCATGTACTTTGTAAGTATCATGACTAACTAGGAGAGGTAGTAGAAATAATCACTAATAATACTCACGTGATAAAGCTTTACAATTTATGAATATATATGAATACGCAATAACAAAACAAGATTCTAAGCATGACCGTAGATAAGTATGAGGTGCACATAGAGAAGATATGCACGAACATCAAACAGAATAACAGCTTATCATATAGAGGAGATATGCATAAATATACAAGTCAAATTATACAAAGAGAGACATATATAGAAGATGTGTAATGTGTATCATTTCATCAATAAAAGCGGCATATAGAGAAGATATGCATAAAAGGTATGTATACAAGTACAAATCTAGTATATAGAGGAGATATGCAGTAAAATTATGTATACATCCAAGGCGTTTCCATATAGAGAAGATACACAAAAACCCAATAGTGCTCAACTTTTCATAACTGTGTGTACGTCATCAAAGAGAAATATGTAAGGACGACCCTAGGGGGTGGATCCTTATCCACACGTTGCACGGACAATGCACGTTCCACAATCATAACATCCGCACGGACAACTCACGTGCCATAGTTGACTCAACCCACATAGAAAACTCACGTGCAACCAACCCAATCTATAACAATAGAAAGCATATACAAAACTACATGTATATTGTCAATGGATATCAAATCACATACGTATGGACTAATAAAATAGCATGCCAAAGTGTATGCACGTGCGAAGTGTTCAAGTATAGCTCAATTAGGCAGTTACACCACACAACAATGAGTATCATGTTCAAACATAAAGAAGCAAGCCTACACAATATTTCTAAGATGATTCACGAGGTTACGTAGTCATACATCCATTATAATTATAATAGGCATAACACAGCCTAGGGACTACCCTGAACTTGAATAAACTTGGTGCACGCACATGGACTCAACCCCTCGCATTTACGCCACTACTAGCATGTAGACAACATCAATAATTCAAGCAGTTTATCCCTCAACCAAGTCTAGGAAAGATGCATACGTCAAACGAGCCAAGTAATTGAAAGAGTAGTTGTAGGATTTTCTTGACAAGGGATTCATTAGATCTAGTGTCTCGCCTTGGGGTGCACTGGTGTTGTTGGTGAAGAAGAAGAATGGAACGATGAGGATGTATTTAGATTATCGGCAGTTGAACAAGGTCACTATCAAGAACAAGTATCTATTACAAAAACTTGATGACTTATTTGATCAGCTTCAGTGTGCCAATGTACTTTCCAAGATTGACTTGAGATCTGGCTACCATCAATTGAAAGCTAGGGCATCAGATGTCCCTAAGATAGCTTTTCGGACTCGGTATGATCATTATGAGTTATTAGTGATGTTATTTGTCTTGACAAATGCTCCAACAACCTTTATGGATTTGATAAATTGGGTGTTCAAGCCCTATCTGTATTTTTTTGTCATCTTCATTGATGATATTTTTGTCTACTCCCGCAGTCGAGAGGATCATGAGAAATATCTTCGGATCGTACTTAAGATGCTGAGGGAACATTAGTAATATGCCAAGTTTTCTAAATGTGAGTTCTGGTTGAACTAGGTTCCCTTTTTGGGCCATGTTGTATCTTTCGAGGGCATTAAAGTGATTCCTAAGAAGATTGAAGCAGTTCAGAACTGGCCTATACCTATTTCATCTACAGAGATTCAGAGCTTCTTGTGTTTGGCGGGTTATTATCGTCGGTTCCTTGAGTGGTTTTCATCTATCTCAGCCCTAATGACCAAGTTGACCCAAAAAGGTGCTCTTTTTAGATGGTCTGACGAGTGTGAGTAAGCTTTGAGAAGCTCAAGACTGCACTAACTACAACCCAAGTGTTAATGTTGCTTACAGGTTTGGGATCTTACGCCGTGTATTATGATGCATCACTTATTGGGCTTGGCGTGGTATTGATGCGCGGTGATGGGGTGATTGCCTACGCACCTCGGCTGTTGAAATTTCATGAGAAGAATTACCATGTTCATACGTAGAGTTGGCATCCATTTTTCACTCACTGAAGATTTGGAGGTACTATCGGTACGATTTTCATTGTGAGCTCTAAACCGACCATCAGAGCCTCCAACACTTGTTCAAGAAGAAATTCCTTAATTTGTGGCAGTGGAGATTGTTAGAGTTGTTGAAAGACTATGATATCATCATATAATATCATTCGGGGAAGGCCAATGTAGTGGCCGATGCATTGAGTAGGAAGGCAGAGAGTATGAGTAGTTTTGCATATTTACTGGTAGCTGAGAGGCCATTAGCCATGGATGTTCAGGCTTTGTCCAACCGGTTTGTGAGATTGGATGTTTTGTAGCCCATCCGAGTTCTTGCTTGTGTTGTGGCACAGTCTTTATTGTTGGAGCATATCAAGGCTCGCTAGTTTGATTATCCTCACTTGATGGTGAAGGAAACAATGCAGCGGGGTGGTGCTAAAGAGGTTGTTATTGGCGATGATGGTGTTATGCTCCTTTAGGGACGGATTTGTGTTCCAAAGGTTGATGGGTTAACAGAGTTGACCTTGAGGAGGCTCACACTTCGCGCTATTCTATTCACCCAGGAGTCAAGAACATGTATCGTGACTTGAAATAGCATTATTGGCCGCAAACAATGAAGAAATACATCATTGCTTATATATCTCGG